GTGGGTGGTGGAGGGTCTCAGATTCAAGAGAATGTGAGTAGGGGAACTTGAAGGAGAAGTAAGGGAAAGGAGATTCGGAGGCAATAGAAGAGAAGAGTGAAGAGAAGCCATTGTTATTGTGCTGTGTTATCTGAAACGGAATACAATATTATAACTGAACAACAAATGGAGGTTTTGATTTTGCAGTGAGAGAGTCTGAGGTTTATCTTGTTATCTAAAAAGTAGTGTTGGTTTCGGACATCCATTTTTATTTGGGTCGGGTTGGTCAATTGTGATTTCAGATCCGGATTATTTAATAGGAAAATGTTTCTTTTACAACACATAGATGCCAACTTTTTGACAACAATGACATTTTTTTTATTGGTTTGTTTGCAATATTTTATTAAGAGATACATTTTGTTGTAGAGGTATTTTTGGAGCATTGCTTTCATTCTTGCGGATTTTTCTATCTATCGAAAGAAATTTCGCCGTCGAGTGTCCCTATTTTCGGGTTGACCACATTTTACTCTTCTTCGTTTTTCTCCACCATTTTCACGTTGTCTGGAGCATTGCTTTCACTCTTACGGGTCTTCCTCTTCATCGAAAGAAATTTTTCACTTGAGTTGAAAACATTAAGGAACAACTGAATTACTTACGCAGTCGCTTTGATGAATAACCTCGTAGTTAGATTTGATAGTGCTAGGTTTCCGAAAGAGAAACCTAATCAAGAACTCTCCAAACACCACACGTAACAAGCACACAAAAGAGACAAAGGAATTAAACTGAGTATTATTCACAAAAGAATGGTTTGTGCAACTACAGATACAAAGGGCTTAACCCCCTCCACAGGACAAAGCCTGTCAACAATCTAACTGCCAAAAGTCCCCCTCCACTAAACAAACAACTATTTATACAACTCCTCTCCTCCTATCCTTATCCCCTTTCCCATTATATCCAAATACCCTATGTCCTAACATATAGTATAGTGTTATTTACTTTAATTAGGAGCATTATGATTACTGTATTCCTTCATAAATATTGTAAGGTTTTTAAGACTCAATTGCTTTAAGAATATTGAAAGTTTTCTTTATCAATGTTTAACTTAAGATTTTTGCGAACTTCTTATGCTTAATACATATGTCTTCCACAACAAGTGGTGGAAGAAAACGTCAAAAGTAAACTCATGTAAGAAGCTTAGGAAAAACATTGTTTTTAGGAAATTAACTACATCTACTAAAGTGGTCTAAAAATTACGAGTTAGTATTCATTTTAAAAATCTTTGAGTCTATATTCCAACAAAACAAGAATCAACTCGTTTGGAGTTCGGAGAAAAAAGTTATGAGCAAAACAACTAGCAAAGATCAGAGGTGGCAGGAATATACAAAACCTTAACCTTAAGGAATTAAGTGTACCTACTCAGATGTTCAAAAATAACAAATTAGTAGTCATTGGAAAGAGTTTTGAGTTTATTTTCTTATAAAAAAAGGAATCACATCATTTGGAGGTTATGTGGGAAAATTTATGATTAAAATAGTCAGCAAAGGTCAAAATTGACAGCATGTTATCTCACTCAAATTGCCTTTGGGGAGTGATGTTCTCACAACTGAGTACTGCAATACAAGTTTTTGTACAGAACCAAATTTGTGTACGTGTAATCGTTTACAAGGCCATTGTAATCGATTACAAGGGACTGTATGACCTACACTTGTTTAAGGACTTCACCTAACTTGGTCATCACACCAACATTGGGTCTATCCTCCAACATGGACTGCCCAAACCTCAGTTTTCAAGCTCTACTCACACTTAAACACTAAAAAGAAATCTCATCCATTGAAGAACTATGAAAAAAATACTTAAATTGCCTTTGGAGAGTACCGTTCTCACAACTGGGTACTGCAATACAACTTTTTTTACAAAATCAAATTTTTGTACGTGTAATCGTTTACAAGGTCATTGTAACCGATTACAAAACAAGTGTAGGCCATATAGTCCCTTGTAATCGATTACTATGGCCTTGTAAACGATTACACGTACAAAAATTTGGTTTTGTACAAAAACTTGTACTACAGTACCCAGTTGTGAGAACGTCACTCCCCAAAGGCAATTTAAGTATATTTTTTCATATTTCTTCCTGCTATGCGCACAACTTTTTCTCTCTCTTCTCTATTTATACCATTCTTAAATCTAAGGAGAAAGAGTATTCAAGTGGTACCATAAGCCCACACTATTACCTCGGTTGAATCGAGGTAATAACCCCTCCCTCTCCCCTTTTTTTCTTTCTTACTACTTCGAGTGCAAGGGAACCGAAGCAAAAACCTTTGACATATTACCTCAGTTGGAACCGAAGCCAAAAGTCCCCCACCTTTTTCCTTCGTTAGTATATGCCTTGATTCGAAAGCTGAAGCATATTGTCAAAAACAACCGTTGTCGTTTCCCTTCGCTGCACTAGTGGGTAAAGTAACTTCTTAATCTAATAATGATGATTCACGTTCTAGTTCAAAAAATGTTTTGAATGTTTGAGTAGAGCACATATACCAGTTGAATGTCCCAACATGAGAACTATGATGTTATTGGAGAATGGGGAGTACATTAGTGAGCATTATGTTGGTGAATCATCTAGTATTGATGAAGAGGACATGAAGTGTGAAGTACCACCTTTGGAGGGAGATCTTTTTATGGTTAGGAGGTTGTTGGGTAATATGAATAAGGAGGAGGATGAGACCCAAAGAAGGAATATTTTCCATTATAGATGTATGGTTATAAGAAATGTGTTCTCACTCGTCATTGATGGAGAAAGTTGTACAAAATGTAATAAGCAAACTACTAGTGGAGAAGCTCGGTGTGGTGAGGATGCATAATTGGTGGTGGATAAGCAGGTGAACATTGCTTTCTCTATAGGTAAATAAGTATATGAGGTAGTATGTGATGTGGTACGTATAGAGGCGAGTCACTTGTTGTTGGGAAGACCTTGACAATATGATAGAAAGGTAATCCATGATGATCTAACCAATAAGTATTCTTTCTTGTTCGAAGGATAAAAGGTGTCCTAACACTTTTTTTTTATCTTTAAGAGCGGTTTGTGAGAATCAAATTAAGATAAAAGTGAAAAAAGAGTAAAACAGAAAATAAGGAAGAGAAAAAATTCTAGAAAAATGCAAGAAAAAGGAAAGTAAAAAAATAAAGAGTGATACAATTATTTGATTGAGAGAAAAAAAGTAAACAAAGAGTTGGTTAAAAAATAACCTTTATATTTGCTTATACATTAGACGAGTTTAGAAATAAGTTATATGAGTCTATAATTAAATAAGTATAGCAAAAAAAAAATTAAATAATGTCATTCCATACATTGATTACAATAGTCTAAGAATATACTTTAGGCGAGTTTCTCCATATATTGAATAAACAAGTCCTGCAACATACATTAGATGAGTTTGTCTATATATTGATTAAATGAGTTTAACAATATACATTAGATGAGTTTGTTTATACACCTATTATATGAGTTTATTAATACACATTAGACAACTTATCCGTTCTCTATTTAGATGTGTCTTGCAATGCACATTAGATGAGTCTGTCCATACACATTAGATGAATGTAGCAATACACATTAGATGAGTGTGCTCATATACTGATTAGACAAGTCTAACATTATATATTAGACGAATTTTTTGATGTACTGATTAGACGAATTTAACAATATACATTAGACAAATATGTCGATACACTTGTTAGTATTTATAACAATATATTATATGTATATTTGCATAGTCTATCATTTATATATTTAGAAAATTTACTTTATATTTCTTTTCGCATGTTATATCCTCTGTATATTTACAAAATCTAGTCTTTTACACTTTTATGTATATATTTATATAATTCTATAAATTTTATTCAAAATTTAATCATAAACTTAAAAAACTATTATTGTTATTTCTTAACCTCATAAAATATATATATTGAAATACCTTTTAATATAATATATATTTAAATATTTGTTAATATAATAAATATTTATTAACATGAAAAAACGCACACAAACCATATACGAGTTTAAAACTAATAAAATACAAAGATATAAACTAGTATTATTTCTTAATTTAAACGCAACTCTAAATATCAAAGCCATAATAATCTTATAAAATAAAGACCAGCAATAAAAAAAAAAAAAGCATTGTAGTCGCACTTTATAAATGTTGTGATTAAAATTTCGTATTAATAATACGACTTTTGAGGTCATTACTTAAAATGTGACACTTAGTCTAAATACTAAAATATTAAGAGAAATTTCATTAAAGAAAAGGATAACATTATTAGATTGGAGATGCCTAACAAGAAGAAAATTTGCATGTTAAAATGATCCAATTTTTGTTCTCTAGAGACTTAACAAAGTAAGTAAACCCAATATTTATTTATATTAATAAACTTACAAATATAATATTGTAAATACTCATTCATTACATAATTTAGTTTAATTTATTTGATAAGGATATTATAAAATTTGAAATTATAGCAGTTAAAATAATATTCATAAATGGTTGTGTTCACTTCACTTGTGATAGAATAAGTCATTCTCTAATACTATCTTCCTTAACATATATATTTCATTTAATTAATTTACAAGTAATTTATAAATTTAAGTATTTTTAACTAAATTTTTATTAAAATTTTTATTGAATGTTTACAATTTTTTTATTCTTATGTAAATATTATTTGATTTTGTCGTTTTCTTCTTTCTATTTTTTTTAACTTGTTTCTATTTCTAGTGTCTTCAAACTCATAAAAATAATCAGTGATCAGTTGAAAAAAATAAAAAGAAAGAAAGAAAAAGAAAGAATAAATTGACAGAAAAGTTAGAATTAAAAAATAACATTGACTTCATTATTTTAACCACAAAAGTCAAATCACATATTCTTAACAAAAAATAGAAAATACTTAGTAAAGAAAAATTTAAAATAGAGAATTATTTTAATATATCTAAATTTATAATATAAGATTATATATCATACGCAAAATGTGAGGTGTTTGTGTTGAGTTATTTCCATGGCTGTGCCATCATTCTCCTCTTCCTTCACCTACGACGTGTTCCTCAGCTTCAGAGGAGAAGATACTCGTTACAGTTTCACCGGCAATCTCTACAGAGCCCTTCGTGACAGAGGAATTCACACCTTCATCGACGACGAGAAGCTTCCCAAAGGAGACGAAATCACCTCTGCACTTGAGAAGGCAATCGAAGGTTCCAGAATTTTCATCATCGTTTTCTCTCGCAACTACGCCTCTTCCTCCTTTTGCTTGAACGAGCTCGCCTACATTCTTCCCTACGCTAATAAAAATGGTTTGCTGGTTTTGCCACTCTTCTACGACGTCGTTCCTTCCCACGTGCGCCACCACACGGGTAGCTTCGGAGAAGCTTTGGATACACATGAAAACAGGTTCAAAGCTACGAGTCAGGGTTTTGAGCTTAACATGGAGAAGCTCAACAAATGGAAGATGGCTCTGCGTGGAACAGCTAACTTATCTGGCTATCATTTCAAACATGGGTACCCATCTTTTAACTTCTTTGTTTCTGTCTATTCATTGTTTATCGCTCCAGATAACCTATAAATGATTTATTTTTGTTAAATACAATTTTCACAAATGATGTTATTATTTATTATTTTTAATTGATACCAATTAGAGTTGTTTTGACCGATACCAATGGAAAACCTAAGTCAAAGTTATTTATTGATCAAATTATATTAAGAAAATTCAACCAACACCATTAAAACTATTTTTCAACGACTTTTATCCACACCAATGAAATTATTTATTTTGTTTAAAGTTTTGAGGCTTAATAGCATTAATGGTCCCTATTTTCGTGGTTTATTCGAAATGGTCATAGTATTTTTTTTCTGTTCGATGTTGTCAATGTAATTTATGTTCAATTTAGTCATTTTTGCAGACAACATTTAGATCGTTAACGATCCACTGTGTGCAAAACTCAAATGAGATGACATTTAGAAGCTGCCACGTCACCATCTTCTTCAACCTTCAGTCTAAAGAGAAACTAAAACCCTAATTTCTCTCTAGCCACCTAACCCTAGCGTCGTCACACCTAAACCCTCAGGTCGCCACCGCAATCACCAAAGACCTTCAAACGCAACAGAAGATCATCACTAGGACGCCGCTGCGACTACCTCCACGCGCCACCATCTTCATCTCGTGCCTTCACCATCATCTTTTTCCCAGTTCGCGCTATCCCACAGCCCCACCGCCAACACCATGCCGTGGTGTTGTGCCCATCCTCTCCTTCCACCATCATCAATTGCACCGGAAACCTGCATCAAATCCAATCCAAAAAACCCATAAAAACCCAGAAACAACACCGATGTGATTCGCTATGTCTTCGCGAGTTCCTCCTTCTCCATTGACGCAACCTAGCAGTTCGAAACCCTCAACCCTATTGCGCTTAAGAACCACCATGTTTGCGAACCTGCTTCTCCCTCGTGCTTTCGTGCTTTCATCAACCTGCAACGAAACATAATCAACCCAAAAATTCCCAAATTAGAAACCCACAAAACCCTAATATTTCACATCCACCTAGTGCAAGACCACCAACATCCATCACAAGGGCAAGGCTGCAACGTCTTCATCTTCATTGAGACACCATCGCCGCGAGAAAGAACAAGAATCGTGACCACCACTGCTGCGCATCCATCATCACAACAGCGAATGACCCTTCTCGATTAGGACACCTGGCAGCTCCACGTGGGCAGTTAAATACCATCTCATTTGGGTATTGCACATCTGGATAATTGGCCATTAACGATTTAGTCTGCAAAAAGGACTAAATTGAACATAAATTACATTCTTTAGGACAACATTGAACAGAAAAAAAAAATTAGGACCATTTCGAACAAACCTAACGAAACAGGAACCATAAGTGCTATTAAGCCAAGTTTTAAAGTGATAGAAACAATTTTTTACCTTGAAAAATTTTAAGCTTTACTCTGTATCAATTTTTTAGGATAAGTTTTAGAAGAAACTTAATATTTTTAAAGTTATAAAAGTAATTTGATAATCTAACATTAAAGAATTTCAAATTCTATTTAAAGAAAAGACAAAATTGAAACATCTTCTATGATATCCCTTCCTTTCTCAAAGTGATGCTGCTTCTCTTTATATTTTTTAGACTTTATAAGCTCAATTAAGGTATCCACCGTTAACTTGATATTGTTTTTTTTGACTTTCCTGAAAGTTTCTTTCATATTAAAATGGATCATGGTTATTTTGAGTTATCTTCATCAAGTTTTCATTTTTTTATATAGGTCAATATTATTTTTGAGTTGGCATTAGTTAGAATTTCTTTTGTCAATATCAATAGTTTTTTTTTTACTTACATTAAATACAATTTTTTAAAGTAATGTCAATGTTTATTATTTTTAGTTTATATTATTAATGGTGTTCTTTTCTACCGATACCAAAAGTCGAGATTATTTATTCATGATGAAATTGAATAAAAGAATTCAACTTGACATTAGCAAAACTATTTTTCAACCGATGTTAGGTATGTCTTTTTATTTCATTTTTATTATTTTATTCTTCTTCGAGTGACGCAAATCAGATTTTTTTTTCAGGGAAAATTGATACGAGTTATTTTCTAGTTAATATTATTGAAGCTATTTATTCATCATTGGTGACTAATTAGTTTGAGAGCATTATTTAGTGGTGGTTGTTAGTTATTGATTGAAAATTTGTTTGATTGAAGTATGTAGTGTGTATTTTTTTGTTGTTGTCCATATTTGCAAAGTTTCAATGATGAGTTTTATATTTAGTACTAATTGAAATACTTTATAAAATTTAATAAATTTAAATTATCTTAAAACAAAATTTATAATGAAAGGAATCCAAATTCAATGTATATAAATGTAAAATTTCAAAGTTTTTTTATAAGGTGTAGAATAATAATAAATATATTTTTTCTGAGATAATTTTACTAAAATAATTGTATTACTTTTGGTGAGAAAAAACATAATTTGAAGGGATATATAATTTGAAACTGATTGAACAGGGAGGAATATGAATACGAGTTTATCAAGAGGATAGTTGACTTGGTCTCCAACAAGATTAACCGTGCTCCTTTACACGTTGCGGATTATCCAGTTGGACTAGAGACTCGAGTGCTAGAAGTAAAGTTGCTTCTAGACATAGGATCTGATGATGGTGTCCACATGGTAGGGATCCATGGACTCGGTGGAGTTGGTAAAACCACACTTGCTCTTGCAGTGTACAATTCCATCGCTGACCATTTTGAAGGCTTGTGTTTCCTCGAAAATGTGAGAGAGAATTCAAACAAACATGGCCTACAGCATCTTCAAAGAATCCTTCTTTCTCAAATGATTGGAGAAAATAATGTCAACATAACTAGTGCGAGACAAGGGATTTCAATGATGGAGCATAGGCTACGACAGAAGAAGATTCTCTTGATTCTAGATGATGTTGACAAACATGAACAGTTACAAGCAATTGTTGGAAGACCTGATTGGTTTGGTCCCGGCAGTAGAGTCATCATCACAACTAGGGACAAACATTTGTTATCATGTCACTTGATCGAAAAATTATATAAAGTGAAGAAGTTGGAAAAGAACAATGCTCTTCGACTGCTTAGTTGGAAAGCTTTCAGAACAGAAGAAGTTGATACAAGTTATTTGAATGTAATGGATCGTGTACTAGCTTATGCTTCTGGCCATCCATTGGCTTTGGAAGTAATCGGTTCGAAGTTGTTTAGAAAAAGTGTAAAGGAATGGGAATCTGCCATCAAACAGTACGAGAAAATTCCTAACAATCAAATCCTTGAGGTGCTTAAAATAAGTTTTGATGCTTTAGAGGAAGTAGAGAAGAGTGTTTTTCTTGACATTTCTTGTTGCTTCAAAGCATATGCATTGTCAGAGGTGGAAGATATACTTCGTGCTCATTATGGTGATTGCATGAAATATCATATTGGGGTGTTGGTTGAAAAATCTCTGATAAAATATGGTTATAATTCTGTAGTTACAATGCATGACTTGATAGAAGACATGGGTAAAGAAATTGTCCGGCAGAAATCTCCAGATAAGCCAGGGAAGCGCAGTAGATTATGGTCACCAGAAGAGATAATTAAAGTTTTGGAAGACAACTTGGTAAGACTCATGAATGGTTTGTTTCGTTCTTTGATTTATCTTTTTCTTACTATTATGTAATATTTAAATTTAACTAAGCATTTGTACTGCAGACTAACATATATCTGCACTATGCTTGATTGGTGCCTTTTCTGTCATCAGGGAAGTGGAGAAATTGAAATCATATGTTTAAATTCCTCCTTACCTGACAAAGAAGAAATAGTGGAATGGAACAGAAAGGCCTTCAAAAAGATGAAAAACCTCAAAACACTTATCATTAAAAATGGTAATTTTTCGGAAGGTCCTGAATATCTTCCGAATAGTTTAAGAGTACTGGAATGGTTGAAATATCCTTCACAAGGGCTACCGCCAGATTTTCGTTCAAAGCAACTTTCCTTATGCAAATTACCTTCAAGTTGTTTTGGGTCACTCGGATTGGCTGAGTTTTCAAAGGCAAGTATGGACGGTTGATTTTCCAAACCCAATATATAAATAAACTCCCATCCGCATTGTTAATTTTTGTTTCCTTGTTTGTCCTTTTTGGTTGCTGCAGAAGTTCATGAATATGACTCTTCTGAATTTTGACGAATGTGAAGGTTTAACACAGATACCTGATCTATCTGGGCTGCCAAATTTAGAAAGATTTTCATTCAAGAATTGTAAGAGTTTAATTACAATCCATGACTCCATTGGCTTCCTAGGTAAGCTTAACTCCTTGAATGCTGTTGGTTGCAGCAAGCTTAGGAGTTTCCCCCCCCTCAAATTGACTTCTCTGGAAAATCTTGAACTTTCATATTGTTACAGTCTTGAGAGGTTCCCAGAAATATTAGGAAAAATGGGACAGATAACAGAACTTGTCTTGGAGGACTGTCACATAAAGGAATTGCCAATTTCATTTCAAAATCTCACCGAGCTTCAAACATTACAGTTGCGTTTGTGTCCAAGGTTAAGGTTACCTAGTAGTATAGTCATGATGCCAAAACTGGCCAACATTATTGCTTGGGAATCTAAAGGGTGGCTATTTCCAAAACAGGTCGAGGGGGAAGAGAAAATAGGCTCAATGGTGTCTTCAAACGTAGATTGTCTTTATCTCCCAGGCTGCAAACTCTCAGATGATTTTTTCCCAATAATTCTTGAATGGTTTGCTAATGTAAAAGATTTAGACCTATCAAGGAATAATTTCACGGTTCTTCCTGAATGTATCGCCAATTGTCACTTGTTATGCAAGCTTACTTTGGATGCCTGTGATAGTCTTCGAGAGATTAGAGGGATTCCACCAAACATACGACAGTTATTAGCAAGAAATTGTAAATCCTTCACTTCTTCTTGCGGAAGAACTTTACTGAATCAGGTTTTGTCTTGTTTTTCTTTTGTTACGTATTTGATTTGATGTTGAGGACAGTGTACGCAATGGTGCTAAACTTATTGATCATTTGTGACTAACAGAAACTGCATGAGGCTGGAAACACCATGTTTTCGTTTTCAGGAGCAAGGTTTCCAGAATGGTTCGATCACCACAGTCGGGGACCATCTTGTTCTTTCTGGGTTGGCAAAAAATTCCCTTCCATTGCTCTTTGTATTGCTATTGGACCAACTCATTTGGAACACGTTGAAATTGTTGGACCTATCATGATCATCAACAGCATTGAATGTTCATTTGATGGGGAAGAGAATCCTTATTTATATATGTTCCCTCATCACACATATATTTTCGATTTGCAACATATAGTTTTTTCAGATTATCTAGACAGATTTGTTTCAGAAAATGAATGGAACCACGTGGAGATTACATACTCAGTCGAGCAGAGATTCAAGGAAAAAGACAAACATGCGGTGACCCCAATCTCTATAGAAAATGGAATCTATGTGTTCAAACAGAGGAGCAACATGGAGGATATTCAATTCACTGATCCCCACAAAAAGAGAAGATTAGATGTTGATCCAGAGTAGTAAAAACCACCCATTGTAGATTCATGCAAGTGCAAGCTTGTAAAACAAATTAATTTCTTGCAGCAATGCTGGATAATGATTTGAATTGAAATTAGCAGCGTATTATCAGCTAAATATTTTGCCTTCCTTTTCAAATTGCAGAGCCCATATAGAAGTTTGCTGAATACAAAATAAAATGTCTTGGATGAAATAATAAACAACCAATTTCCTGAGTTTCCTCCATTTATATCAATGATTCACGTAAAAGTTAAAATTCTAGGTCCATTCCATACTCTGCTATTTTTTTTTGTTAAATTCATCAGTTAAAAATTAAATATTTTTTTCAAGAGTTTATGTTAAAAAATCCCACTACTAGAACTGAACTTTTACATTACTATAAGAGAAAATATACTTATTTTTCTATAAAATTATTTGATAATCATAATTTTTTCTATAATGAGTGCATTTTTGGACCATCCTAGTTTCTTTGCTGTTTATAAAGTGAATGTTGATCTAGACTCTAGTTAATATTTAAGAAAGCATCCCAATTATATTAAAATTAATAAATTTGGATTTGTGTACGAAAATTAGTTTTGCAATTTCTTTAAACATAAACTAATTTACAAAAGGGGAAAAAAGGATTAAATATAAGAAGCAAATAATTAACGTTATTTATAGAATCAGCACGGCATTCTACTAAAAGAAAAAATAGAAATTTCACAACAATATAAGAAAGAAACATATTTCTCTACTAATTCAATCAAATTTCAATTCAAATAACTCTAGAGGATAATTTTATAGGTTTGAGAAATTATATAATTATAAAAAATATTTGAAGAATTAACAGAAAACTCTAAGTTTACTCACTTTCAAAGATTAATAATTTAAAACAATCTCGTAAATTATACGAGTTATAAAGGTTGTTAGAGAAGTAGCTACCACGTATGCTATTTGCGAAAGAAAAAAGCCCAAACCTCCTAGGGTTAAGTTTAGAGAGCCCAACCCATTAGACGGAAACGGTGCGTTTGAGGCGCATATATAATAGACTAAGTATTAGGGTTTTGCAACACGAGCCTCATCAGAAGCGGAAGAAGCAGAAGGAAAGGAAGAGCAATGGCGCCGAAGAAGCCGAGAAGCGTGTCAAGGAACCCTGAACTCATTAGGGGTATTGGGAAGTACTCAAGGTCCCAGATGTACCACAAGAGGGGCATCTGGGCCATCAAGGCCAAACACGGCGGCGTTTTCCCTCGCCACGACCCTTCGCCCAAGCCCGACGCCCCGGCCCAGAAGCCTCCCAAGTTTTACCCCGCCGACGATGTCAGGAAGCCCCTCGTCAACAAGCACAAGCCCAAGCCCGCCAAACTTAGGTACTTTCTTCCTCACTCTTGTGTGTGTATCTGATGCTTTGATTTGTTTGGTATGATGATGTATATCTTTCGGTGGTCTTATTGTTGTTGGAAAATGTGGAACAAAAGAAGGGTTTTTAGTCTTCGGATTGAATGATACACATATTGAACCTTCTTGTATTTGTGTGTCATAGAGTTTTTGATTTGTCAGCTATGATGGATTTTTAATTGCTCTGTGGTTCGTAACGTTAAAATTGAATATATCTTGTGGTTTAGTGGTCTCTTGTTTGGAATATTTGGAAAATATGTGATTTTGTGTTATTTTTGTTGAATGATGAATTTAACTGTTTTCCGATATATGGGGAGATTCATTTTTTAATCTTAGTGACTTGTTGTAAATTGATCAGTGTGCTTTAGTTGTCAGGGTTTGTGTTGCATATTTTATTGGATGGTAAAATGAGACCTTTTAGTTGTTAGGAATTTTAACGAGTGTGTTTTGTTTTGTTGTTTGAGGCCTTATATTTGGTATGTTTCCTCTTCAGGGCTAGCGTTACTCCAGGAACAGTGTTGATCCTGCTTGCTGGCAGATTCAAGGGAAAGAGGGTTGTTTTCCTGAAGCAGCTTCCATCTGGATTGCTTCTGGTAACAGGTGTGTTGTGCTTGTGATGAGATTAAACTTTGTACAACAAGTTCTTGCGTGATGATCTTTGCCGGTAACAAGTTTTTCATTTTGTTGTGGTCATTGTGCCTCAATGACTTAATCTGATTGCTCTGGTTTCTCACTTCTTGAACATAAGTGATTGACAAGGGTTCCTTCTTATGTTTACTGTTGTCTACCCTTCAAAATGCTTAGTTCTGTTTATAATGTTTTGATATTAATGTCTTTGCGTTTTTAGGGCCATTCAAGATCAATGGTGTTCCTCTTAGAAGGGTGAACCAATCTTATGTCATTGGTACATCTACAAAAGTGGACATCTCTGGTGTTAGTGTTGATAAATTTGATGACAAGTACTTTTCCAAGGATGCCAAGAAGAAGAAAACAAAGGGAGAGGGCGAGTTCTTTGAGGCAGAGAAGGAGGTTGGTTTTAAAATTTGATGTTAATGTGTCGTCCCTTGTTTGTTTGAAGCTGCTTCTGTAATGCTGATCTTTATTATAATTTTCCCATTGTAGGAGAAAAATGTTCTTCCCCAAGAGAAGAAAGATGACCAGAAAACCGTGGATACTGCTTTGTTAAAGGCAATTGAGAGTGTTCCAGACCTGAAGTCTTACTTGGGTGCTAGGTTTTCTTTGAAGGCAGGAATGAAGCCCCATGAACTAGTCTTCTAGAGGCCTAAATTATTTTTCTCATTCTGTTTTGTCGAGCTTTCTCTTCGTAATAGTTGCACTGTCTTCGTTGTACTGGAACTTTATTTTTGTTAAAGTTTTTTTACCAGTTTTGGTTCTAGTTGATTAATACATTATTATCGATTGATACATTAGTATGTGTTTTGTCTCCATCGAAGTTACTATTATGCGTGTGCAGTAACCAGGCAAAAAGTTTGTTATTTTGTTGTGGTGGATAAACTCACGTTATTTTACCTTTGAACACCTATACTACCATTTTGTATCCCATTCTGCCTTAGTGCTGCGATGTAAATTCTAGGGAAAATGTTTTTAGTTGGTTTTAATCCTTCAACACTGAAATGGTTTGAAATTTGCATTTCTAAAATTTTGCAGAGATTAGTTAATAATTTTTATTACTATATTTTGGAAACTTTAAAATCAATGTAAAATGAGTGGTGGTGGTATAGAAGAATCATTGAACTCTAATTCAATTTTTATACACTCGGCAGTTTATTTTGTTAGTTTGATTCATAGTTTTAAGGTAGAAGTTAGAATAGAATTGTTGAAAGATGTTGAATTTGTGAAGCTGTTGGGTTGGATTCATAGTTGAATTAAGTAGACAGACTAGGGTTTTAAGCGTAAGCCATTTGTCCAATTCAAAGAACTCCATTCAACCCAACATAATAAATATAAATATATAATAACAAATATTATTTATCCAATTTTTTTAAGATAATATTATATTTTACAATATGAGTATTACTCATTTATGTATTATAAATAGGTTCTATTACTATTTTTATTATTATTAAGCAACATTAGAAATATTTATTTTGAAGGTATGGTTTTAATTAGCATCCAGTAAGTGCATGTCATACTAACAAACCAAGCTATTTGCATAATTAGACTGCTGTGTTATCATTGATATCGACTAGGTAAGTTTACAGAACTGTGAGACTATGATACAAATATCAACCATTTCAGTTTTGTTACACAGGTTAAATTCAGTGATGCTGATCTGAATCAGGTATCTAACATCGTCAAATGAGAACATTGATCTTGAATAACAGAAATTCCATTAAGTTACATTAAAAGTAAAGCTCCACCAAATGAAAAAAATGCATAATGAACTCTTTCCTATGCATCACAGCATGCTATCTGTTCTAGCTGGAAGCCTCTTGAAGAAGTTGCTGGGTACAGAAGGAAGTTTGCTACGAAACTTTGGGTGCCTTAGATAATACATACCTGTTACCATAGCCACCACTTTTGGTGGAGTTGCGTAGAGAACCACAGCTGAACACAAACTGAACACTACGAAGAGGCTGGTGGCTCTGGTGTCTCTCCAACTCAGTAGAGAATGAAACCTCTCTCCCTGAGTTGCTATGTCCCCAACCACTGTTTGGATCCTTCCAGCAACACTTCTAAGCTTGTCATACCTCATTCTCACCACATCATGCGGTCTAGAAGTTGGGAATGTGTCAAACTCTTCATCAAGTTCATCAGCGTGAACTGCTTCTGCCCATGAGAGTTTTGTGTCCATGTGGGGTGGGTTTCTAGGCCTAAACCTATAGTTCCACAGGCCGATCAAGAACATGTAGAGGAACAAAGTTGGAAGTATCAATTCAGGGTAGCAAATGAGTATGAGGAAGAGAATGTGAACCAGGACGGATGTGATGGGGTTCTTCCAATGGCAAACTTGGCTAAACCACTGCCCCATTGTGATGATGCCAGAGAAAAGTGACATGATGCGGAAGAAGTTGGCTTTGCTTCTTCTCATGCTCCACATGTTGGAGTCAACATCCAACATGTACTCCACCACCTCCTTCCTCAGGGGAGGTTCAGCTCTTCCAAGCCTCCCGGCCACAATGTTCATGGCTTGGTACCTCAAACTCTCTATCTGGTTTACTGTGAAAGGGCGCAAGTAATGCATCTTTGGAAGCAATGGTTGACCATAAATGTAAACCATGTTAGCCAGTGAGAGGCTAGTGAACCTCACGGCTAGCTGAAGCTCACCCATTTTCTTGACACCATGAGGGTGCAAAACAAGAAGTGGATAACTATGAGTGTATATCCTATGAGCTTCAAGTGTTGAGAGTCTAATTCTTACCTTTCCAATTCTTGAATCCCTGGCTGCAGTGCCTGCAGTGGCTTTTTCGCCCCCACCTAAATGGCAGTTGTCGAAAACACCAAGTGTTATCACAGAGCATGGATCATAAACCTCCCATGTGTATTGCTCATTCCATTTTGGACTATGAGTGTCAAGAATTGTTCTGGTTCTGACCCATTTTTGACCGTACTTTGCCACACAGTATGCATCTGTGCTGCCATGGCCATCCCTCATCTTCATTGGGAGGAGTCCTTGTGCTCCTAAGATGCCTACTTCAAGTACCCCGATAGGCTGCTTCCATAGCTGTCTAGCTGTTGGTCTTTGGTCACTTGAGT